ATATGGTTGTATTCAATTTTTTTTGGAATGATGAAAATAGAAAATCAATAACCTTTCCCCTGCCCTTCTTTAACTTTTTCTCATCGTTACGGTCGATTGTTGTTGTTTTTGGCCTAAATGGTTATTTGCACAATGGTTATCGGTGGTGGATCATGGATAAGTCGACGGCACTTGCTATTCATTATTATTTGGAAACAAAGTTGTAAGTCGGCATGATGTGCGGTTTGGTCATACTTCAAAAATATGCCGTACATTAAAATTGTTGTATGGGAAAAAATGTGTGGCTCTCGATGAGAAGGAAAAAAAATTGCTCAGAGTTTTTCTCATTGCACACATTTTTCACATTCTTCATATTTGAGCCCTACGCTCATTCAATCCCCAACCCCCTACATTCCCATTTTTGTTACGCTTTACTATCGTTTCTCTTTCGTTCCTATTGTTTTTTTATTCGCATTCAGTCCATTTCCTTTTATTTTTGGCTCTCTCCTTTTCTCATTCATTTATCCACTCTCTACATTGTCTTCCCCCGCTCTCTCTCTCTCTCTCTCTCTTAGTTTCGTTTTTATTTTCTTTCTTTTGCGCCCGCTTGAATCGAAATTAGAACTCGCTTAACGTAAAGTTTTAGCTGCGTTTTTGTTTTCGAAAATGCAAAAAAAAAATTGCAAAGTGCAACTAACCAACGGCAATGCAAAAACTGTTTACCACTGATAAATGTAAAAAAGGCAATATTATTTAATGGTAGAAAATATATGGTTAGAAAAATAAATGAATTTTCAAGGATGCTGAGCGCGTTTAATTTAGTTTTAATGTGAAATAAACGATAATTCAAGACTTTTTGTTTAGTTTTTTGTTGTTTTATTTCACTCTGTGGCTCAGCATCATCCAATCTAAAATGAAATGCGGCATATTGTGTGCATACTCTGGATATACTTGTTTTGTGAAAAGTTTTCTTATTGCATGCGAAAGAAGAAGAAGAAGCAGAAGCAGTTGAGAAAAAATACGGATGTCAAAACAGAGGGCAATTTTAATGTAAAATCGCTGAATTTAAGAGCGAACGAGATTTTTTTATAAGCGTATCTTAAGACCTTTTTTTTCTTGTAATCTGATCAAATGTCGACGAATCATAATAACTCATTTGTACCAACAGAACGAAAACTACAGTTTGCTCACACTCAATTGTGATCATTATTTATTACTTTGTGAGCAACTCCGAAACATATATATAACAAAAAAAAAAAAAAAGAAAAAAAAATACAATCCAAAAGTGCAAAACAATTCTCATTTAGAAAACTTAAATCATTTCTAAAAATGGGCATGGAATGAATGTATTTTGTTCCAAAAAACACAGAGATAAATGAAAATAACGTGAAATAAATCTGACTCGTTATGACAATCAAAATACTTAACAGTTCCGCTCCGAAGGTGATAAGAAGTTAGGTCAGAGTTTGATTATTTTTTTTTCTTATTCTGGAAAATAACATCGTCTATATATTTGGCACAAATAAATTTTTGATATTCACACAAAAAAAACTGTACTACACGAGAAATTTCGAAATATAAAAAATCCTTGGCATTATCTACCTGATAATTGAATGATTTAAAAATAAACTCGAAATTCATTTCTATATGAATAAATTAAATGATTTTTTTTCGTTTTCAACTTCACTAATCACCGAATGACAAGAATTTCGAGCATCAAAAAAACAAAGAAGAAAAACGAGCAAAAAGGAAAAAATTAAATAAATTTTAAGTCGCACACCTTTAAAAAATCCATTTCAAAACTGTCGACCATTATACAAAATTGAAGAATCACCGTTACAATTTTTTGTCCGTTGTTATTTATTTTCAAAATCAAATACGAAACGGTTTCGTCTTTGATGCTATCGAGAAAGCAACGAAGGATATACAACGCATGCACGTACGTATGGTACACGTCTGAACGAATTAACGACCGAACAATAACTAACAAAACGGATTCGAAATTTTTCCATTCAAAAGCCAGAAACCGATAGTTGGATAAAAATTGACAATTCGTAGTATAGTAGCAACAGCTCAGTCTACACCATAAAGCACTTGCTTGGTTCGTTCGCGTTCGCAACTGCACGTCCAAAGCTTTAATGAGACAGTCGACAAAAACTGCACATCCAGACTCTCACACACATACACCATACTGATTCGCTTGCTCACTCTATTTTCCTCAATCGCCGTAGTCGCATCATATGTAACTAAACTCTCATCGCAGCTCAACTGAAAATATGCTGTGTATGGCTTCAGAGCTTCGCTAAAGATTGTATGTTGTATGTTATGTGTGGACATGGATAGAAATGAGTGTGATCGAGTGAGAGAGAGAGAGTGGGCTAGGTGAAGAAAGAAATGGGAGCACTCATGTTGTTTCTCAAGTGAAACGCGCGAATCAAGTGAATGAATGAATGTGGAATGAATACGCTTCTTCTGCCACTAAAAACTACTTCGTTCTCTCACGCGTTGAATTTGTTATACACACTCTCCACATTCTGCATTCTGCATTCGGGGGTTGTACGAATAATTCGGTCGTTGTCGTCGTTCGTGCCTTATATTACCTTTTGTGTTTCAATATCTGTGTGCGGCGATTCAATTAAAAGGGCACAAAATGCACTTCATCTGTACAAAGTCAGTAGCATGTGTACTATGCTTAGTGGCTATCGAATCGATTGCTTCGGCGTATCGAACATAATTACAATCGCTCGATTAGTTGGCTTATATGTGCAACAGAAAATTTAGCGAGAAAATGGAATGGACTCAATATGGAGATTCTGTTGTTGTTGCTCTTGATGTTTGTTTCATTGCCCATAGCACGCGTTGCGATTCATATCGATGGTAAATAAATTATGGAAAACGATGTGTTAATTTGTTCTTCCACGTTATTGTATTACACAATTTTTGTTTTGTTTTATTCCATTCACGTCCCTTTTATGGTTTGGCCTCCACATTGACACACACACACAGCTCGAATACTGCTCGTTTCCATTCCGTTTTAAGACATTAGTCTTGCTTCGTTGGCGCTTTATTTATTGGATATAAACATCAATCTTCTCCAATAAATATTGCTTGATTGAGTTTTATTCTTTGTGATTTAAAAGAATGAGATTCAAACAAAATAAAAATAAAACACAACACAATTATGCAATTTTTCCAAAGATGCCCCCAAAAATTGCTACAAAACAATTTTTAACGTTATTGTTTTATGATGCATTTATCTTTCTCAAAATTGATTGTAGGATTTCTGGTTCATGTTTTTTAATCATTTTGCCCGAACGTGATCAACATTTTAAGCTGTATTGCGATCACGTTTCCAGTTATTACATTCAGAATAATATTATCTATTAAATTTAATTATTTTTAATGATTTTGCATCTCTAAAAAAACATTTTTTTTTTGAAAGTACAACAAATACGTCATCGATTATTTAAAAAATGACTATGACAAACGAAACCACGTCCAAGCACAGAATTGAACTAAGTCATAAATAAATGCTAGTGTTTTTAATGTACTGAGATATTCAGCCAGAAAATGAATATAGGACAGACAATAAAGGTCCAACTGTAGCAAAAAAAAAAAATGAATTATCTTCGTGTACAACATATAATGATATGAATGTGTGAATGTGTGAAATATATTTCAATCGTGATGAGAAATATGCTATATATTATCAACGAATGAAACACACATTTTCTATTAAATTAGTAAAAGCGACAACAGCAGCAATAGCGTATCCATCGTCGTCATTATTCAGTGTGTATGATGTTGTCAATCACAACCATGCATAGCAGATTGTTCAAATATTAGTTTTAATTATTGAAATGCCAATCATTATTGGAAAATTGACCTGTTCAACTGAATGAAAAGTGTATTCTGTATGCATTCGCACAGAATATATGAATATCGAAGTGTATCAAAAGACCAAATAAGAGAATCAAATCGACATATATGTACATATTAAGCTATTTATAGAATCCTATGGAATATTCTAATTTTTGCATTTTACAAAAATGTTTTCATCGTCAGCTATTTCAGATGATTATAAAAAAATCATAAGAATTATTCCGTTCTTTTTATAGACTGACTGCTGTACGGAGTAGAATCGTTTCACGGATGGGCAAGTTTTTGGTGGCGAAAGTGAGTAGAATTGTTGCTATGTGTCTAATACGATTTCCTTAAAAATCGCGATGGTGTTGAAATGCAATAACGAGGCGACAATTTCAACTTGGCAATATCGTATAAGCAATGTGTTCAACATGATGAAATGTGTAGATTTTCCCATTCTTTTTTCGTTTTTACTTTTGTGCATCGTTGAACTTTTTCACCTTATATTTTGCATTATCCGACTGATGCTAGTTAATAATCCGATTATGCACTGATTTTTTCGCCCCTCTAAACTAGACGTTTGCTCACCGTCAGTCATAAAAATTTTATTTTGCTATTTTCATCGCTTTTCTTCGCATTAATCTATTTCCACTAAATGCGAAGATTAGCTAATCCGTACAAACCGAGAAGAAAAAAATCAAAACAGCAAACGTTGCGTCGGAATCAAAGGCAAGCTGTAACACCGGTTGTTATTGAGCGTTTAATCTGAGTGCATTTTTTTAGTGGTTTGAAGCGAGCCGTTTTTTTCTTCTTCTTTTGCTTGTGTTCACAGTGTGCAAAAATTAAAACCACAATTTCCGACATCCTTCTCATCTCATCCATACAAACAAACACTTTCGACAAACCGAACGTCAAGCTGGTTGGACTGTTTTTTTTTCTTCTTTTTACATGTTTGCATATATCTTGTGCAATAGTGTTTGTGTTCCGAGCTACATCAAGACTTCAACGAGGACGGTGGTGGTGATGATGATAAACAACGAATATCAAGTCATTTTCGTTCACATTCCATGCTGAAACTTAAAGCGAAAGAACACATAACGCAAAAAATAGACACAATTCTTTTTGGATTTATTTTATTTTTTTATTTAATTTTCCCCTCAGCACATTTCATACACCATGCAATCTTTTACTATTTTGTGGAATTACAGCGAAACATGTGTTTTATACATATTAAGAGATTTTTCTACAATTTACTCCTAAAATATAAACAAACGAGAAAAATAAATGATCGTTGTTTTTGGTACACAGTCAGCGACGCGCATGAATATGAAAGGCAAGACACACACATACACACACACAAAAACCTCACTCGGAAATACTTTCTAAATTAAATAACATTTATCTTAGCGTTAAATATATTTGCCACATAAAATCATATAACTCAAATGAACTAATTAATGAAGTACCAGGGTTTCAGGAAAATGGCACCATCCTCACTATAAACATAATAATTTTCCAAAAACAAAAACACAGAAAAAATAGAATACCCCATGAATTTTCTCCGTTGCAACCACACCGCTTATAACAGCTTCTCTCAATTTTTCTATCGCTCGTTTTCTCCGTTTCTAACTCTTCTATTTCTGGAAAAATCACAATGCCAACATCCTCTTCTCCGTCCTGGTTTTTTTACATTCGTAAATATTTCCGGTTCAACGAATTCTAACTTGCAATTAGTAGAGTGGCAGTGGTGAAGCTGAGGCGAGTGCTTCTAAAAACAGCACGTGGTTATTACACTTTTGCATTGGATACATGCCATGTTAAAGAGATAAAGTTCAAAAATCAATTGTGTAACTAAAAAAAAAGTTGTGGTCTAATAATCTCTACTGCCATCCGAGACAACCATAATATGCAAACACGTGCGCATGCATGTGAAAAAAATAACATTTAGATGTGTCTATCTCGAATCGCTTGGGCGATCTCCAATGTGATTTTGTGTGTGCATTGCGGGTTTTAAATAATTTAAACAGTTTACATACACGCACATGTTATATGAATATTGAATTCAATAAATTAGGAACCTACAGCTGCTTTCAGATAGAATATTAGAGATGAACTTATCGATCTAAGTTGGTGTGCAAATTGATTTAAAACCTTATGAAATAATCGTCTTTACTAATCTAAAAATCTATATCATTTACATGTTGCCTTTACTTAGTTCCAATTATTGTTTATCAGTTCGCATTATCGATTTATAGAGATATATTTAAATTACACGACTTATGTCTAAAACTTTGACTTTGTTATGATTACGTTCTCGGTTCGTAGCGTTTCATTTGCTATTGTTGTTATTTGATATGATAATAAAGTGTTCGGCGTGTTTGGCCACCACTTGAAAATGCGAAACCGAAGCAAATCATCTCATTCCTTTTATTTCGACGTAAATATACAATAATTATTACTTTTTTTTTGTTCGTGAATGAATGGCATTGGTGTTTGCATGTATGATTTATGATTTTCAACCACTTAATCGGAAGTAATCACCTCCACCTCCACCAGAAGCTGAACCAAACGCTTGTGTTGACCATGCCGATTGAATTGTTTTTCCGGCACCCTACGAAATAGAAATCGAACAAGCACAATTTATTCACCAAATGTATTTAACAAATTTTACCAAATAGAAAACAAATGAAAAATGCATCATTTATCACGAAATTGAAATGTTTACCTGTAATGCTGAGCCCAATAATTGTGTAACGGCTCGTGTTACTCCTAATGCCGCGCTCAACAGCTGACCACCTCCTGGTAAACCGCTGCCAAAACCAAAACCACTATTTCCATTGGTGTGAGATTGATCTAACGGTTGCTGTTTTGTTTTTCGTCAGGAGAATAAAAAAATAAATAAAAGAAACAAATAATATATTAAAAGACATCAAAAATAAAAAGTGAAAAAGAAAAATTCTCTGCAAACGAAAAAAAAAATGAATAACATACAGATGATATGTCTGAGTCAAGGCCATCATCGAGACTCAGATCAGTATCAGTGGCTGTGACAATTTCACTGTTTGTACCACGTGTACGTGTTCGTGATGATTGCGGTGCATATCCACCTTGTCCTGGTGCTGTATCCTGCCATGTCTTCCATAACCAGGATAAACCATCGATGAGCGGTCGCGGCGATCGTGCTGGTGATAGATATTGTGGTCGCATTGTTGTCGTTGTCGAATAAATATTTAGCGGAATATTATTGTGTGCTGGTCCAATGCCCCGTTGTTTCAATAACGTTGCCAAGAGTGCGTCATTCGTTTTGCCATATGCATCACTTGGATCGATAGCAGCCAATTCATCGGTCGATGTTAACTCATTATCCGGTTCAATTCCATCCGGTTTCTTGGCGATTTGATGAAGTAATTCAATTTCTTGTACGATTTTTGGATTGACGGGTGGTTTTGTTGTGCGAACCGTTGTCGTACGTAATGTCGTTGAAGATATTGATGGTGGTAATGTGCTCGCTTGTTTCGTTAATTGTGGAATATCTTTTTGTGAAATGGGTCGACCCAACAGTGTGGATAGCAATTGTAAATCAGTGTTAAGCGATGCAACATCATTTTTATTCTTTTCAATTTCATCACGACCAATGGTTGGCACCTGCGGATAACCGTCTACATTCAATGCATTCGTCTTCTCTGGCTGAACCTTTGATGTTTGATTGAGCGAAAACTGTGCAATAATTTGCTTTGCAAAGTCTGGATTTCGTGTTGTTTTTGGTGTACTTGTGTCAACTGCAATTTGTCGCTATGGAACCGGAATGGCAAAAAAAAGAGAATAACATTTTATTATTTTTAATTTTAACGAATTGCTCTCTGGCTCTAATCCAATTTGGACAAAGAAAAAACCGAAGATAGAAAACGGAATAGATACGGCCAGATAGGATAACAAAAAAAAAAAAGAACATCAAACAAAATGTTTTAATCCGTACTAATCCTTTTAAAAATGCAATATCATCTGCATCAGAGAATGTGGTCAATTGGGGTCGTCGTGTGGTGGTGGTTACTGCTTCCTTTTGAAAGCTGTTCAATAAATCATCGAAAGTTGATGTCGGCCCACCGCTGCTGTTTTCATTCTTTGTTTTTGATACCGTGTAAATTTCGAGCTTTGGTGTGCTGTTGTCGCCATTGTCGCTGTTAGTGGTGGTGCTCGTTACGGAAGTTGATGCAGTCGTTGATTTTGTTTGAATTGGTTTTCGAGTTGATGTTGGACGTTGCAAAAGACGTTGCTGACAATTGCACAAACAAACAAAAACCATTGGCACATTTCAATATGCAAAAGAAAGAGAGAACGCAATTTTTCAATGTGAATATTGGAACATTTACACAACGAACGATTTTGTAGTTTAGGCGTTTGTGCGCGTACAATTCTACTTATTCATTCTAATTTTGTTTTTATATCGCGGACTGTGTTATGCAAACACAAAATCACGCGCGCAAATATTTTTCGGTTCACTCACCACTTGACGCAAAAAGTTCAAATCATCGTTGTCTGATGCAGCCGGTGTGGTTTGTTTGCTGCGTGTTGTTGTTGCTCTTGTTGTTGTTCTTGTTGTTGTTGTTGTCGTTGGTTTGGCTCGTCGCGTCGTTGTCGGAATACTCTGTAATAAATCTTCAATATCATTGATACCGATTGGTAATTCCGTTTCGCTAGTTGTTGTTGTCGTCGTTGTCGTTGGTTTCGTTTTTTCGGTTTTTGGTGAACGTGTGGTTGCGCTTGTTATGCTGTTTCCACGTCTTTGCAAATGAACGAAAATAAAAAAGGAATTTAATGCAAGAATCAAATGACGTATTTTGCCATTAAATTCACAATAATCTAATTAAACAAAATTTTTGGTTGTCGCTGTTCTGTCTTCAATGAAGACTCTTCATATTGCGTAGGCGATGCGATATTAGATTTCAAGCATATTTGTTATTTGTTGCAAAAGCCCGTTTTTTGTCGCGCTGTGAAAGATGAGTCTATGGCATATTTTGTGAAAGAATTTAAGGATTTACTTACGTTGTTGTTTTCACAGTAGTATTGATTTTGGTTGTTGTTCGAGTGCTTGTCGGTCGTTGTGATGTTTTGATAGCATTTTCGTTGTTATATCTCTCTGTACTATCGAAACCATCGAAGTTATGATTCGGATGTTTCATCCGAATCGATGTACTTTCAATCGCCTGAAAATATATCGATCGAACATTTGAGAATTCAAATTTTTCAACTGCAATTTTCATACAACAATGTATTAATTAATGTGTAAATTTCTTGATGAAATATTCCATGCGTAAAAATTGAAATTGAGCTGAGAAGTAAAAAGCAAAAACTGAATGAAAAAACTCACCCAAGTAGGTCGGTGATTTGCCGGCACTGGCGGTGCTGATGTGGGCGCTTTTGGTTTCTGTGTTGTCACTGGTCTGTGTTCCTTTACAAAAGTTTTTACTGTGGTTAACGATTGTATTGGTCGATTGGTGTCGGGTTCTTCTGTTGTTCGAGCTTGTTCGACCAATTCACGTATGATTTTTACTCCCTTTTCAATATGCGGCTTTTGTGTTGTTGTCGTTGTTGTTGTAAACGATGTAATATATTCACGATTTGATTTTGGACTCGTTGCTTTTGTCATAGTTGGTTGTTGTTGTGTTATATCAAACTCATTGCTCAGTGAAAATGGATCGGATTCGGTATTGCCAGTGGTTGAACTTGATTCATTGCTTGTTACTTCATTTGATGATGGCTACACACATACACATCGAAAAGAAATATTTGAAATTGCTCTTTTATAAGTCAAACAAATGTACATGGTGGAGGCTTCGGTGAGATTTAATATGTATTATGAATAATTGAATATGTGGGACATTTACCAATGAATCATAGTCATCGAGTGAAATGGGCCGATATTGTCCATTCAAACCAAACCCGTTAGTACTACCATCGCTGAGCTGTGATGTTGGCGGTGCCAAACTAAATACATTCTCTGATTTTGAATGTATATTGCTGGTGTTTGCCTTTTGTAGGTATTTGCCTAACTGTTCCGCACTCTATAATCACAAATCACAAATCGCCAAAAACGAAAGCAGGAAGAAAATAGAAAAATGTTTTGATATTATTTTACATTTTTTAAAAATTATGTAGAAGAAGAAAAAAAAATGGTCAGTCGTATTATAAATGCAATGTGCAAATAAAAGTTTATCTATTACGATAATGCTATATTGTTATTGATCACGTAAAATTGATTCACATTCATGAAATCAAACATGAATTGTGGTTAATTTAATTTAAACATAAAATCCGAAGCGTATGCATTTTCTACGGTGTACCAAAAAGTGCATCACACGCTCGTGCGTACGTGAGCATCTTTCTCAATTGGAATTTGATGCATTTTATTAGAGCTTGGCTAACACACAAAATTCGACAATAAAATACGGTTTGTTAAAATAGAGTACGGCTAAAAAGAGAAAGAGAGAGTGTGTGTGTGTGCATGTGTGACAGCGACAGATAGTCGGCTAAAATAATGAAAAAAAGCAGTCCTTGTGCCTTTGTTCCAATTCTGCGTGTTTGGTTTTTGCTACATCGTTAGACACAATTATATATAATTTAACATTAAAAAAAAGTACAATAGTTAAATGCACTACCAAAGCAATAACGTTTCACAAAGCACATGCACGTTCATCCACCCTCTCTCTCTCTCTCACTTCTAATAAAAATAATAGAATAATGAACGTAATTTAATTTTCGATTGCTAATTTGATTTTGGCCCATCGTCCGATGTCCGAAAAATTATTATTTACATTTTACACAATAATGATAAAACGAATAAAAGCAGTTCTATAAACGCACTTCCGCACAGCACACTTCGTATGTAATGGTATGTGTGTTGTGATTGTGGTACGTTTCTACGAAAGCGTATGCCATTTCCGTCGTTGCCATTGCCGCCGCTTGCCCTTTCAACGAATAAATTATAAACACAAAAACAACAAGACAATATTGGCAGTTTTAAATACCGTTGATGGAGGAGCAGTGGTGCTGTTAGCGTTATTATTATTGAAGTAGAAGGATGCATTTTGATTATTAGAGTTAAATGTGCTCATATTCACAAGCAATTGATTATATGAATTAGAATCGTTGACATTCGATGACATTTGTTTATAGACATCACTATTTGGATCATACAGACTGTTTGGATCGATGTTGGTGATTTCAAATGTGCGACTACTTCGTTTTGTATCGATTGTTGTGGTGCCATTCGGATATTTACGTAATACAGTATTATTGGATAGTATACCATAGACAAATGGTACATTGTCTTCATCATTATTATTATCATCGTAAATATCTTCTGGATACCTTCGAATCACAGTGTTATTCGCTAATATGCCATAAACAACAAAATCGAAACGACGACGTTTTTTGGTAGTTAACGATGGCGTTGTTATTTCATTCGAGTCATCAGGCGAAGACATAAACTCGGTTGTGGTAAATGGATAGATCAACGATGGCGTTGTCATTGTTGTCGATGGAGTTTCTTGCAATAAACTTGGTACTTCGATGATCATATTCGATGGAGACGGTGTGGTAATATTTTCGATTGTATTTCTTGTGACATTTAGTAGGTTTACTATTTTTCGATCATTCGGAGTTTCGTCATTCGATTGCATTGTTTTGGCTATTGGCTTGTAAAATCCAATGGGTAAAATTGCAATGCGATTGATAAATCGCGGCATATATGAATCTGTCGTTGAACTTAATCCGTCCACCGATCGATTCCATTCATTTTTCTTGATCGTCTCCAATTCACTGTGTACAGTTGCCATTTTGATCGGTGTTGCTTCAATCATCTCCGAACCATGAATGGGTGATGCATCATTCATCGAATCGGTGGTTATTTCAATTGGTTCGGTTGTAAGATCACCATCGTCAACATTTATTGTGGTTAAGTCAGTAGCTGTAAGTTCAGTGTTAGTCATAGTCTGTACATCCCATTCATCCGTTGATTGGTTAAATAAAAGGGTCATAATTCGATTTAGTCTTGTTAAATTTACATCATTATTTACTATTGAATTGCTAGTTGTTTCAAGATCGAATAAGTTGATATTTACGGAATTCATTGAATTTTCAGTTGACATAGTTGTCATTGTTGTATGATTGTGACTATGGTCAGCTATCGTCGTCGTCGTCGTCGTTGTCATCATTTCCATTTCCGAATTTGTTGTAACCGGCGATAATGGTATTGTAATAGATTTTGGTCGATCAATAGTCGTCTTCGTTGTGGTCGTTGTCATGGAAGTGTTGGATGTAGAAGGAGATTCAGTGGAAAATGATTGATGCACATACATTGAGGATAAGGAACTTGTCGTTGGGACTGTGGTGGTTGTGGATACATAAATCGGATAAATTGGAATCACATTTGAGTGCTGTGACACATTTGACGTTTTTAAAGTGGCCGCAACATTCGTTTGAGTTGTAAAATTATTTAACGACAAAAACGATTCGGTAATCGTATTAATTTGCATTTTTAATTCAGGTTGTTCGCTATGTGTTGTACGAATCGCATGTGCGGTTCGATTATTACTTTGCATGGATGACCTATCACTAGATGCTAGTACAATCATAACGTCACTATTACTAGAATGATTGCTATGATGGTGTTGCTGTTGATGCATTTTATTTGCGTCAATATGCATACGACTATCATTTATGTCTGATTTAAGAATGGTCGCGATGCTACTTGAAAATGGTTTTTGAGTTGTGGTGCTGATTTGTGTGTAACTACTTGTCAATTTTGTGTCTACCTGTTCATTGTTCGATGTGACTACGGTGGTATGAGAAGAAGATGGTTTGCTACTACTGGTGATTGCTTCATTTGAATCGAATGCGTTTAAAATGGGTAATCGAAATTCGTTGGAATCGTTATTGATTTTGGCATTGGTAGTGGTGGTGGTTGTGATGGTGCTATCGCCAGTCATGGATGGTATTTTTGGTATATCGGTTTGGATTTTTTGTATTTGGGCTGGGTCGTGGTTTGTGCTTAGGAATGTGCTATGAGTGTGTGATAATGGTGTATATTCGGTCGTTGTTGATGTTAAAAAACTTAGACTTTCGGTGGTATGCGAGAGAATTTCGGATAGAGCGCCAAATATCGACACCGTCACCGATGACGATGAATGATGTGATGTTTCCACATTCAACGGTGGATTCTGCATTAGTCCGCTACGAATTGGTTCAACATCATTATAATGATAACTGTAATCCGATGCCGCCCAATCGATTTCATTCTTCACGTGTACGTGAATTTATTTGTGTGTATAATTATATGTGTGAGTGTGTCATCGTCGAGGGTCATCGTTGTCATGGTTGTTGTTGTCACAAAAATATCGAAAGAAACAGAAAAATTTAATTTGATTAATTTACATGTTGCATGATCATTATGATATGATATTCAATCACAAAAGAATCATATCAATGACATGATGACATTTTTCTTTAGAATTTTGAGCAAAAGCCAAACATTGGTAAAAAAAAGAACTAAGAAGTAAAAGAAGAACAAAAAGAAACACATGAGTTTTGCAGTTTCATTAAATGAAATGTAATTAGTGTTATTACGGATTATAAATGTGATTATATTTGGGTTTGATATTGCGTGAAACGTGAGAAGAATGCAATATATAATCATTATTACTTTTCAATAAATCTCAAACAGTATTTTATAACAGCACAAAAACTAAAAAAAAGGCGAAATGTGTGGACTACATACATTTTATATTAAAATATTGTTTAAAAAAACACACAAATTATCCATAACTACAATCACCAAATATGTAACTAAAAGTTAAGAAAATGTATATAATAAAAAGAATTGAACAAAATAACGCTTGCTTGATCCATTGAACTGAACAAAATATTCAATGTTGGCATGATGCAATATTGTTACATAAAATTGCTATTTTGTACACTCTACAAACGAACAACTGAATAACATTAATATCAATTTTTTCTGCACTTCGTATTGTATTTTTCTATAAAAAAAAGAATGTCTGTGCGTAGAAGAGGAAACAAAATTGTTTTGTTTGCCGTTTAAAAGAATAAAACGAGTTTGTTGCGCCCAATATACTTGCGATCTAATGAGATGCACTTGCACAATTGCACAAATCCGATTTTCGTCTTCATCTTCCACACCACCCCCTCATCGCTTTTTCTGTGCTTTTTTCATACATTTTTGTTTCGAAAGCTTATTTTCATTTCTTTAATATTCTTGTATTTTTTTTCTGTATTTGTATGCATATATGTGTATGTGTGATTTGTGTCTGTTTTCGCAAAATACTGTTACTCCTACAACTAAACAAAGAGAGAAGATGCTACAGATAATATTTGTGTCATTTTGTTTGTTATTCCGAACTGAGCGCCTGATTGAAAAGATAAGAAAAAGAAAATAAGAAAACAGAATAGAAAGAAACAGAATTTTCTGATTATCGCTTAAATACAAAATGGTGATTGTTTTAATTGAAAACAAAAGAAAATTATTGAAAGAAAAATCAATAGATAGGTGAGTTAGGGATAAAAATTGTCAATAAGTCACGATCAAAAGGTGATAGGATCAGTTGCGTTAGAAAAGAGAAATCACCGTGGGACTATTTTACGCTTAAATTCGAAATTTTGCTGAAACATTTATTTTTTTACCAATGTTTAGCTCACTCTTTCGAAAAAAAGAGAGGACTCTTTATATATGTTAATGGGCTTGAAAATGTCAATGAAAAAAAGAATCAAATTGATTATTTCATGAAGGAATCTCAAAAGGGATTTTAATTCATAAAATCGAATAACTTACAACTTGTGTCGTAATTGGTGGCGTTGTTGGTGTATAGAACGGCGGTTTCTCACGCATTAAATTCTTACGGTATGCGGCCAACGATAGAGCACCTTCGCCACTTTTATATCGAGCACTGAATTTTGGCGTATCAAGAACAGGCCCCTTGATAAACAAAATAGAAAAAAAGAACAAATATAAAACGCCATCCATTCGGATCTTCTGATGTGAAATACTTACGGCTGAAAATCGATGATTTGTTGGTGGCACATCCGATTTGATATTCGGTGTTCGTGATGTCGAACTTTTGGTGTCAAAAACTAATGATGTCGATCTTGATCGAAATGCAGCCAACGAATCATCACCACCTTCGGTCCGAATTTTGGAGCTAAACTTAACGCCACTAATTTGCTTTTGAACGGTCGTTTTACTCTTGACCGTTGTGCTTGGCACATCGGATGGTACATTAGTTTCCGTATTTAATTCATCGGTTGTTGCCATTTGATCAGTTTCATTGATTGTAGTAACAGCTGCTGCTGCTGCTGCCGGTGCTGTTGAGGGCGTTGATTCACTTGTCGTGGACGATGTGTGCAATGAAGGGAAAAGTAATTTTAAATTTGGTCGTTCAATTTTTTTATGCTTATACGGTGGCCGCAATGTGGTCGTTGATTGTTCTGGTGTGGATGATGTTGTCGATGCGAGGATATTTTGCTTTTTCGATGCAACATTATTGATTCGGCTCGATGGCAATACGGTTGTTTTTTTCGATTTTAATAATGCCTTAAAATGTTCTGGATAGTTTTGTTCGTCATCTCCATTCTCATTACGTTCGGTTTTTTTGCCTTTTGTATCATTTGTCGAAGAAACAACAGCGGAGACGGTAGCCGAATTAATTGCTGCCGCTGCTGCAACTTTTTTCTCACTTTCTGTCGCTTGGCCATTTGCATTGATTGCATTCGCCTCAGCAGTGCGAATTCGATATCGGCGACCAGTCGGTTGCTTTCTTATATTCACTGTATCGCTGTAGGTTTTACGATGGTTGTCCGGTTGATGATTTGCCGGTAATTCGGTTGTGGATTTTGTTGATTCCAAATCCGTTTGATGTTTACGACTAGAAAATGTTGCGTGATGCGTTGCCGTCGATGACACAGCGTCTTTATTGCTATTGTTATTCGTTTCAATTGATTGATTTTCATTTCGTGTAATTGTTCGCTGTTTATTCGATTGATATTGTTTTCGGCGTGCCGTTCGATTGTTACTTTCACCATTCGATTTAACGATTGTTGTTGCGGCCGTTGTTGATTCGGTCAAATTTTTATCATTTTCCGTGTCCTGTTTATTGCTTCGATTTCGACCACGCACACGATAAACCGGTACTTTGGCTGTTTTGAAATCGGCCAATGTATCATCGGGCGGTGTTGTTGTTGTCGTTGTTCGATACCGACCACGTCTTGTTGATTGCACATTATCATGAGAAAGTACATCTGCTCGACTTATACTGTCTGATGATGTTGCCACTGTTTTGTGACTATCCCATTCGGAAAGCTCATCGGGACTAGATATGAACCGCATTGTTCCACGTCGTTGTGCCTAGAAAATACAAACAAACACACAATTATAATTAAATGCTTTTATTTCAATCAAATGAATTCATTCAATATATGCTCTTCAAGAATCAATAAATTATCGATTCTATTGATATCAACAGTTTACAATGGCTCTCTCTCTTTCTCTCATTCTTCAAAATGTTTCATGTAAATTTTAATGTTATTCTCAATTTTGCCGAAAACATCCGGTATTTTTTTATAATTACATTGACTGGCACAAGTTGTGGGTTGAGTTTAGACCTACTTAACGCATTTCTCTCAAAATGCAAGCAAGCGTGGAGACAGTGTCGTGCAAGTTCGCGGGTGGGCTTGTTTCGGAAATGAGAGAAACAGAGATAGAACGAAACATTGACAGTGACAGTGAAGGAGACGATGAAATAGATTGGGAGAGAGTAAATGCTTGCTAATTATATTTTCGTTATCGTTATAAAATAGTTTTGTCGGATGGGGCTTTCCGTATTTTTCACCATTGAATTAACTATATAATTGCATTGCCGCTTGACTTTTTTCGTTTTTCATTTCAGAAAGATGAAAATGAAACTGCCATTTGCCAAAAAGACAAATACAAAGAGTGAAAAAAAACTGGCAAGATAATACGAAATAATACCATATTAAAGACGTAATCGTTGCGTATTATTTTTATATTATTTTATTTTTTGATCGTGCGCTATGAATGGATGAAAACCAACAGAAGTGTATAAATGCCGTTCGATGTTCTCTTTCTCGGTCTTTCTCTTGAAGAGCTACTGAAAATACGCGCTATATAGTATATACTTTCACTTTCACTTTTATCGCCATGTTTACATTAAGTATGCGCTTTATTTTGATTATATTTTTCGTTTTTTTTTTTTGTTGTCGGATGGTCTCTGTTCCAATTTTGTAAATTTTTGGAGATTTTTTCTTTCATCTCCGGCAAATGTCACACATATTCACTCCCATTGTGTATGTTTGAGTCGAAAAAAGATGTGCACGTTGTAAAATGGTACAGAAAATGTCAGCAACATTATTATATCGGACAAATGACACACGATTAAAGTTCAAAAAGTTTTTATGTTTTTCCTTAAGTTGGTAAATGACTTAGTTACATGTGATTAGCTAAATGAATCGATGCGATCAAAGAAAATTTAAATTGATTTCTCAACCGATAATTGATATCACAATCTCACGATTCAATGATTGATGATGCATTTTAAATGATTTACATGTGATGACCTTGTCAAGTTTTGGATCCCTTTCGAATGATCTTAACGGACTGATCAAAATGGATGTGAAATGCGTGACATCAAAGATGAAACACATGGCATGGTCACTTCCGTATAATTATTTTATTTTTTTAATGCAACCTTTAAATGCTCTGCATTTCTGCACATACACGACGCGACCAGAGGACAATGTGCGACGCATACATCGGCAAGTAAGCACACACATGCGATTGAATAATATTACGGCGGAAGATCACGTAATTATTAATCCAGATCAGTTCAATTCGTAGTGTGTGCAAAACAGTTTTTGTCTGGCATGACCATTGCCCACCACACATTGATGTAATGAAGACTGAGAGAGAGAGAGAGAGAGAGAGAGAGAGAGAAAGAGAAAAAGTGACCATCGCTATGCCAAACAGCCACATACGAAATAAATTGACAGAAAAATGTCCAACAAATGGAAAAACAGAAGAAGAAGAAGTGGCAAAGAGATAAAGAGCCGAATGCGAATAAATTATATCGATCAGTTAATTTGTTGGCAGCTATAAGTTGATTTGAAAGTTGTTTTTGAGAGCGGATTTTGTGTGTAAAATGTGTTTACCTTTTTTTGCACATTTATTTATTCTTATTTCTTCGACAGCTTGTTTTTTTTATCAATTTGCTTCAGTTTATACATTGCGGATTCGTTCGCTGTATTTTTAAATACGGACGTGTTCATTCATTCGGTGGTTTCTTTTTTTAACGACTGTAGCGCAAATCCATCATGTAGTCATGAAAGCGAACATTCAACATTGAAAATAAATGGCAATAATCGGAGCAAATCCTCCCTGACTTGAATTTGCCGATTTTTTTTTTCTTCGTTCATATGTAAGGAAGTGTATGTTCGACAGTCGATAATAATTCACCATCACGATGCATTGAGTTGAAATGACCTTGAATTGCGTAGATCGAAGAGAGAGAAATAGAGTGTGAGTCGATGTGAGCATGTGGCAATGGTGTGTTTGGATAGGATTCATTACATATGACACCAATGAGATTTAGACACATTTCAAGTGGCCATTCATTTACTGGCTTCTTTACCACAGAAGTATAAACAAGTATGTTGTCCCATCGAAGCGTGTGTGTGTGTGTTTTAACACGAAGCAAACATATTTTATCGTCTAAAGAACAGTTCTTGTCTACCTTTTCGTCATAAAGTTTTCCTCAAAATAATAAAAGAGGGGATGAGTGATAGAGAGTGAGTGCAAGAAAAACTGAACAAGTGAATGAGATTCGAGCCACTTGAACTGTTAGTTGTTGGTTCATGCATGGTACTCTTTAATTCATGTTTAGTATGCGGTGACATGAATACATCTTAAGGTGTTCTCACTCTAACTCATTCCATTCTCTTTTACTCATTTATTTCCTCTATCGTTTGGCTCATTCTCTTCTATCGTCATCATCAACAACAATAATAACAACAATGCGCCACCATCTTAATGATTCCGACGATTTTCCAATGCATGCAGCAAAGAGCCGGTATAAACGAACGAGCTTCTTGTGCACATCATCTCTCTTGGGAAAAATGCACGTTTGCAATCGGATTCTGCATGGCATCAGGCTAACGAAGAAGAAGAAGGTTGGAAAAACCACAAGCACATACATTCACATGAGCACGCATACTTGAACTAATCAAACACAGTAGCAGAGCATTTAATCTCGGCGTTTTTCTACCAAATTCCCAACATAGTACTAGTTTTTTTTGGGATGGGGGAAGGGGGCAAAATATGCTTTAAATTACACAAACATATGATAGTTTCAACATAAAACATTTTCTCTCTTTCGATCTCTATTTCAATATGCATTTTCATCTAGCAAATTGCATTGTGCGGTTCGGCAAACATAAAACAAGAGCAAAAGAATGGAAGCCGGAGAGAAAGAAGGAAATAGAAAGAGATAGAAAATGATTTTGACTATATGGAGCACCAAATCCGCAAGTCAAATGTATGTGCGATGAAATGCAATGTGGCATGAAGGCGGAAGAGAAATGTGAATGAAGCGTGTGACTTCGTTTCAATGCCTTCGAGCAAGCATCGTTTTACAAATTAATATTAATAGCTCGATTCGATTTACCATATACGTTTACATATTCATATTTTTTTTTTTCACTTTTTCATCTCTCTCTCTCTCTCTCTCTCTGTGTGTGTGTGTGTGTCTATTTCAAACATTTATGAACGCGATGATTATACATATTTTTACAAATTTTCTTTTCGACTCCCCGCACCGTGAACACGCACAAAAATTGTTTTTTAAATTGTTATAACTGTTTTTGTCATATGTTATAATAATTTTTTTGGGTTATGTAATTTTATGAGTTTTTGTTTTTGAGAATGCCAACATGTGTTTATTCACATGTGGATTACCACCAATTGATCAGAATTCGTTTAGAGCGCGCACGCATACACATACAGAAATGTGCGAATATCTGTGAATAAAACCACAGTATGAAAATTTGGAGTGGAAAGCCACACAGCTATAAAAACAATCAAAATCATTTTAACCATACCTGACCTCTTGTTATGCGCATGCATTCGGTTTGTTTCGATAAAATTAAAGCATGCCTCGAACACAGTGTCAACATTGAACTATTTAATATTTTAATTTGCAATTAACACAAAATAAAGGGTGAAATAGAGAGACATAAATGCATATACATAAAAGTCAAGGTGAACAGTGTTGTTTCGAGCTCGCCTGTCGGTTTGCGGATGCAGAAAACCCAATTTCATGCCACCTTATTTGTTTTCACTCAATTACTAGCTCCATAAAATACCATAAATATTTCAATTTTGCATCTAATAAACGGAACACCCATGAAAATTAACTAATTTTTGGTTTTATTAATTTTGTTATCCGTAACACCTAGTGCGGTTATTATTACTCACGCTCTCACATGCGTTCTCCATACATTTCAATTTGCTACACATATACGATAATCATGAATTGCCATCAGTCATTTTTTGGGGGGAAATATGGTACGCATTTAATGAACTTGATTTGACTAGATTCAACTGAGAAATTGCGACAACGAACCAATCAACTGAACATACGACACAACTTTGTAAGATTTTTACGAAATGTCTTTGTTTCTTTTCGATCGTATTTTCTCGGAAATCATTTTCAACAAAATTATTCAAAGCATGATTCTTTTTTTTGATGAAATTTACCATTTATAAATCATATAACACCTCTGGAAAGGAAACCAAAGTGGATTTTATGTGAATGGATCCTTCTCATCATTTCTTCGAATTTCATTCGAAAATATAACTCTATTCACTGATCATCTATTCGTCTTCGATAAATCTTTCACTCGATTTATGCAATGTAATAAAGAGTGTGAGAAAACCAAGTCAACACTTGACTTTACACAATTAGAGTGGTCTAGATCACCAAAAATATTCAATTCAATGTTGAATTCTGAAGTTTCAAGAAGTTCAAAAATATGTTGATCATCATTGAAATTGATCGAAATTATACAGGAAGAATTTAAATTAAATCTGATTATGTGTTGAAATTATAGGAAAAACACTTTTAAAAAAACTTATCATCAGCTGAACAAAAGAGTTTATTCATTTCATACTTATATGCGGTTTATTCAACTCTTCAAATATTGTCATCGCATTTAATATATGCAATTATGTTGGATTTAACAGATGTGACAATTGCATAAATAATTAGGTAATATGATGGTACGAGTGGAAAGACAAAAACTTGAATAATCAGGGAGAGAGAGGAAGAGATAAAA